TGGGCTTTGTTGCAATAATCTAAAATAACTTATTGACCTTCAGTTTCCTGATGGAGTTGAGTTAAAGGCCCAAGGGGCACAACAGCGGGGAGGGTTCTTGTTTGGTTTGTAATTTTAAAAAACCAAGAGAGATGAGAGCTGTCTCTGGTCTGCCTTTAAAAACAACTTTAACCCTTTTTATTTAATACCGTTTTTGATCTGTGTTTGATATTGTTTCACCTGCCTTCAAGTAGGAGCTGTAGATGCTTCAAATGGATTGGAAGGTTGTCCGTGTTTCCTCTAGCCTCTTGAAGGGACCAGTATCCTTGTCAGAAATGTGATTTCTTTACAGTGGTACACTCCACTGACTCACGCCAGATATTACCTGCTCCATGGGTAGCAACGTTATGCTAGAAGGACGGGTTTTGGCTCTCCTGCAACAGACAAAGAAGAGACTGGAACAAGAAATTGATTTCCTCCATTATCTCCATTTCACTGATGGGGAAACTGAGGCACGGGAAGCTTAACACCAACATTTCCAGAAGTGGCCATTGAATTTTGGATTAATTTTCAGAGGCCCAACCTGAAATATTTTGGGTCTGGTTTTTCAGAGGTGCTGAGCACCTGGAGAATCCCCTGATTTCATCTTGAGTCTCGGGTGCGCCATGCTTCCACAAATCAGGCCTTGGGTGTGGCCCCTTCCGAAAAATGTTGTCTGTAACCTCTCTGTGGCTCAGCTTCGCTCTCTTTAGAATTGGAATAACACCCGCCTCTCATATAGCAAGCAGCCTGCTCTTGGAGCTGTTTTTAGCATGGCTTTGATGCAGCGTCTGAACCGGCAGCTTTCTTGGAGCATCCTGGAAGGGTGTTGAGCTTTCACCAGCTGTTAAGTGAGAGGTGACAGGGAGCTGGCTGCTGCCATACCACTGCATGTGTGAAAGGGGGGAAGGCAGCAGTCAGTGGCCATCAGCAGTGGCACTGTGGCTTCTGATGTTTGCTGTGTGGTATTGTCCGTGATTTCACTAGCTCAGGCACCGAGGGGAGTTCATCAGCTCTTGGTTTTATGAATCAGATAGAGGCAGATTTCCCTGCAGAACTAATATCACACCCCGTTCACTCCCATTTCCTTTTGTGCAGTACTAGAGGTGGTTGCAGGGCAGGATCAAGTGGCGTGGGGAGCTCTGCACTTGAGTAGCAGGGGCTGCTGCAGTCAAGATTGAGGACAGAACCATGTGGGTTCCCAGGACTGCAATTGCAGGGGGTGCTCCAGATCAAGACAGATGGATCAACAGAGCTGTGGGAGAAAAAGCTCCCAGAGCAGCAGCCAAGGCTGTCTAAAGCCCCTTTTGTGGGGAGAACAAACATTTCCCCCAGAGCCTGTCTCCCCTAGACACGCAAAGCTAAGATGCAGTGCATATCGCAGTTCCGCTGCATGGTGTGGGGTGAGTTGTAGAGGGGATGTGTGGGGGAATCTCCAGTCCTGGGACATGCTTCGTGCCAGCTCCATGAGCAGCCATGCGGGCGTGTCTCCTGGGGGGCCAGGTGTCTGTGGCAGTGATGTGGCCTGTGCACTCTAGCTGTGGGTGGGGAGTGGCGCTGTAAATGCTGTACAGGTCATGGGGCACGATGAGGACCCCTGCGTCTGGCACCCAGGCAAAAACCATTCACCTGGGCTTTGTGCAGCAGCTTCACACGCTGTCCCTCACTTCACTGTGGTTCCTCTAGGAATCATTGTTTGAAAAAGGTTGCCCTGCTGTTGCTATTGACCCCCTGGGTTTTGCTAGCCTGGCTCAGCGACCTGCTCCTCAGCTGGGGAGCCCTGCACAGTATCCCCCATTTCATTATTAGACCAAGCAGCCAGTTCTGGGTCAGGAATCAAGAAGGCTAAAGACTCACGCAGGTCTGGCCCCCTTGGCGTGAACCTTCTGGGCTTTAAACATTGGTGTTTGTTCATAATGATGCTGTGCCAGGGGCAAGGCCGCCCAGAGCTGCCCTCCCTGGGAGGTGTGGGATTTCGGGCCAGGCCAAGGTTTTCAAGAGCCGGCAGGGCTGTTCTCTGCTCTGTCTAGTGTGCCGCTCTGCTCCCTGCCATTCAAACACAGAAATGTTGCCTTCGTGCTTGTGATAGTCATGGGATTAACGGAGCAGTAGAAGAGGGGATGGACTTGTGGACAGAGCGCTGGCCTCGGGAGATCGGAGTTCAGTTCCTTGCTCCACCACATGCTCCCCGTGGGACCCTGGGCAAGTCACTAAACTGCCCTGTGCCTCACTTCCTCCATCAGCAAAATGGGAGTTGATACCTCCCTACCTCAGAGGGGGAGGGATAAAATCCAGCCACGAGAGGCAGTGACAGTGCTGTAGAGAGACTCTCTCAAGGAGTTTATTCTCCATGGCCCATTTGCTTAGCAGAGTGGCTTCTTGAGGCAGCTAGTGAGGGCGGAAACCTGTCTGCTAGAACCTAGACTGAGACCCCCCAAACTGGCTGTACACTGTCTGTGGTCACAGCTGTCAATCAGGACTTTACAGTGGATATGAGCTAGTGATGTAGGAGTGTCTGTATCCCATCCCCTGCACTGTTCATTCCTTTATCTCTTCTTGCTGTTTAAAGTCCCCTTTCCAGCACCATCACCCTTTCTTGCTGTTCTGTTAATACAGCTTGTGTCCTTCGTCCCTTCTGCTTTCCAGGCCCTGCAGCTACAGAGCAGGGATCATGCTGCAGCGAGTTGGCAGAGTCTGTCTCGGCATTGGGCTATTTGGGGACATGGGTTTGAGCCTGTGCTGCGCATCCCAAAATAAAGTTACCAGTTATTTTAAAAGAAAAAACAACCCGCCTGCCGTCTCCGCCCCCAAATCGCAGCATTGCCATCAACAGTCAGCCCCCTCTGCCAGGCAAACCGTAAGAGATGTCAAACAACACAGCTGCTGGGCGGGCGAGGTGTGGGTGTTAGTCAGAGAGTCCAGCTGTTCTTTCAATGTGGAGTCCATCCCCCCAGGTCCCCTGAGCCTTGCTGGTTTGATCCTGCATGGTACCAGTGTGAGTCTTCTCCTGTTTGTGCCCTCCTCCCGCCCCCAGTCCAGCTCAGCTGGCACCTGCGGGTTCAGAAAGGCATGCTTCAGCGAGACTGCCTCTTCCAGCAGCTGGTGCAGAGCTGGACTCATTGGATCGCTGAAAGCCTTACAGTGGGCTAGTGAGGAGGGAGGGACGGGGGACTGTGGCCAAGGGTGAGGGGAGCAGCAGGGGTGGGAAAGTTGTCTGAAATCTCATGAAGTAGCCTCAAACTCCTCTTCCCTTGCATTTCTGGAAGGAGCTGCTTGATCTGTCTTTTCTGGATTATCTGAATCACTCCAAGAAGTGCTGAGCATATGCTGAGGACTCTCACAGCCACTCCCCAAAGCTGAGGCTTTCAGGCTCAGCAGGTCCCTGGTTGGAGCAGTAGCCGGGCCTCTGCGGATCCCCCCTTGCTCGTGTCAGTTACCAAGTGCTTCAGTAACAACAGCAGAGGAACATCTGTTTCTCAGGGCCCTGCGAATGAAACACAGACACTGGCCCAGGTTCATCCCTGCGGCAAATCCATTGAACGCAGTGGGGTTCACACCAGGATTTAATTTTACCCCATCTCTAGGCTGGTGGGAGAGGAGGCCAATTCTCTGCCGGGCATGGAGCTGAGTCCTTGAGGCTTCTGCACAAGTTTCAGCTTGTCCTGTTGAAGAGAGTTTGATTTGCTTTGGCTTCCCTTCCTCGGAAAGATTGCTTTAACCCTCTGGATGCTGGCTGCCGCAGAGAGAGTCTATTTCATTGGCTTCATGGCAGGACAGGCTACACAGGTTAAAGCCCGAGGGTTTACCTGCACTAGCTAACATGCCTTGTCTTCACTGGGATTGTAACACGTGCTAGCTTAACATGGGTTACAAATACAACTTTTTTCCTGGTGACGACACAGCCTCTGTGCATAGGACAGATGTAACTGTCGGAACGGGGTAGGTGGGGTGGGCTCCATTGACATTGGTAGCAGCTCATCAGGTGTTAAGCTGTGCTGATGTAGGCTGGCAGGGTGTGATGTAGCATAACCCAGTGTACTGGCAGCTCTGGGGAAAGCGGCCTAATGGAATCCTAGCTAATGTCATTTGGGGATTGACTTGAAAGATCTGCAGTGAAACCCACGGGAATCTAGCATTCTCCCCAAATGCAGCATCCTCTATCTTTGCTCAGCTGAGCACATTGAGCCAGCGAAAGTTGGCCCTGCCCCATAACTAGCCCCCCCGGAGGGTTACCCTCTGAGGAATCAGTGTGTTCTGAAACACTCATACTGAAAACTAGGATTGATTTTGTTATCTAACTGGAAATGCTCTGGGGTTAAATTTGCACAGCTGCAGGGCCACAACTCACTGTCAGTTCAGAGTAGAATGCATCACCATTCCACCCCAAGGAGAACACAGGTAGGGCACTATACGATGAACAGGCTGCTCTGAACCTTGCGGCCTCTCCATGGGTCCAGAGCAGAGATCCTCAGCCTCTTTTCATACCATGGCCTCCCTGTGCAGCCACTCACTGAAATTCTTCTCCTCAGATGACTCCCACAGTCCTTTGCATGCTCTTGTGATGTTTGAGAGAAGAATGTGGAAATGGGCACGGTGGTTTGGGTGGTAACTCCAGGAGCCCAGTCCTGTGATGAGATGAGCATCCTCTATTCCTTTGGCTATCTTCTCTCTCCTCTACCCTGTGCTGTCCATGGTATTTCTAAGGCACCTCTTGTGATATCTCAGTGCCCAGTTGATGGGCGTCAGCATCTTTCAGCATCTTACTGGTTCAGGGCCTGGTGTCTGAGGTGGACAAGGTCCAAATGACTGGATTTTGGCCTGAGACCAAGGGTAGAAGTAGAGTCACAGCTCCCTTGAGTGTTACAAGCCACTGACTGGGAACTGCTGGTCAAGAGAATCACACTGAGAGATGGCCCTGTGATGTCGTGGTGCTTGCAGAGTGATAGGATGCATGGCTAACGTGTGCCTGTGCTTTCCTTCAGGAGAGGAAGCTGTGCGCCCATCCCAGGCTGGAGATCTACAAAGGAGACCGCATCTATTTCATGTGCCCCCTGGCACGCCAAGGGGACTTCTATGTGCCGGAATTTAAAGAGATGGAGTGGAAGAGCAGAGCAGCAGAGACAGACGATGCACAGACAGATATCACAGGTACCTGAAGGGCACATGCATGTTTCTCTTGCTTTCCTGTTGAAGTCAGTGCTTTCCAGAGTTGTCTGGATGCAGGTGTCCCCAGGCCCCTCTGAGGCAGTGATGCTATATGGACAAAGCAGATACAGTGGAGGGGGAGGCTGGTGATTTTACCCCTCCATTCAATGAGCAGCTGGAATTGAAGCATCTTGTTTCTTTAAAGGAACAACATCCATTAAGTTCCAGCAGTGCCCAGAGCCTGTAACACAATTACTCCTGATTTCAAACAAGTCACCTCCTATCCCTTAGATTGAAATAAGTGTCGATCTTGTCACCCACTTGACCCCTGGGGTATAGGCCACATCTTGCATAGTACATGGTCATACTTATAGTATCAAATAAACAGTAAGCTAGTCTCAATTTGAACTATTGTGGTGCTACTGCCCTACTTATAATAGCATTATTTGGATTACTGCAACTTAGTCGTAGTCACTTTTTGTCCTCACGTAGCTCTGTCTTGAGCTCTTGTGCATCTGTCGTGTTTGGAGTCCTGAGTAATTAAACAACAACTTTCTAGAGCCAGCACTTGAATGATCCAATGGCACCTGCTTAACGAGATCTGCTGAAGTCTCTGTGTATCTAGAAAGGAAGTGATTGTAGGGGCGTGACAGCAGTGCTACGCTCTCCTATCATGGCGCTACTGCTCTTATAACTCAGAATGCGAGTTGCTCACCCCATGTGCTCACACTTTAGTGGAACCAAAATATATGTGACTCATAATTGCTCTCTATAAGCTGCAAATATTTTACATCTGGGACATACATTAGATGGTACACTGTCTTGTGAAATACTGTGAAAGCAGCCCCTTTTGCACATTTCAGGTCAGATATACTTATGTAATAGCATTTTAAAATGTGACGTACTCTTTATGTATATGTCATATACACGTCTTTTCCACATGAACAGCCTTATGATATTTTTCTTTTGCACTTCTTTAATTTTGAATTTCTTTCATTTGTAATCACATGTACCATAAACACGAAAAGGGGAAGCTGTTTTCTGAGATCTTTGTTCATTCAGCAGTACCAATATCAGGCCGGTCAGAGTCCTGGCTCTTGCACAGTGCTCTCAGCTCTTCCCCATTTTGTGTAGCTTTACAATGGGCTCATCCGTGATCTGATCACATGACGCTGTAATGTAACATGCTGTTTGGACCAATGCAGTATTTTGTTGCACTGGACTGGCACTCTTTTCTATAACTTTAGGTGCGTGTGCACAGCATTGGACCGGTCAAATTTTTATAAACAGACACATTTTTGTGCACATTTAATTGTTTGCTGTGATTACATGTGAGCATTTTTGTCAATATAGTTTCAAAAACTGGGGTCTGTATTAACTTGGTGAGATAATGTGGAGAAAAACTCTAATGCATAGACCCAAGGGGCAGAGTTAAGGTGTTCAGAGCCTTCTCTCTGAATTACCTGACTTGAATTTAACATGGGTTTTGATCACTATTATATGTGGTGGGCCTAGCTTTGATATAGCTATAGAAAAATAGGGATCTCTTTATGTAGAGAGAGGGAAAATGAGAGAGAATGTTCCCCAGAGATGGTTAAAATTCCTCTTGCTGGCTAGTGACTGGGCGAGAAGGAAGTTATTTTGCAGATTTCATGTCATGAGACATTTGGATTTTCCATATGTGAGTTACGATGCAATGCTGTCCACCCAAGTCTGCAGAGAGCCAGCCTGAAACAACGGCCTTGAGAGGTTTAAATTGTCTTGAATGTAAATGTCACTGTTTACTTCACTGCTGATCATTTGATCATAAACAATAGTGGGACTGTGGGTGGAGCTGTGCTATGTTGTGGGGGCCCTGCGTAGCCATGCCCCTTTCACACCCATTCCGAGCCCTTTTCAGCCCTGTTCCATGTGATTCTATAATGTCAAAGAAACCCAAAGCAACTGTGACACCATTATAACCAGTAGGATTTCAGTGTGTGAATAAGAGCAGACCAACTGCATGATGGTTGGCTGAGTTACCACAGAGGTCATAACCCCACCACACATCTCTCTGATGTCACCATCTCACCAGTGTTAGCATAACTGCCTTGAAGTCAAACTCTTAAGTCAGCTACTAGAGTAATGGGGCCATGCAAGTAGCAGCTGGATAGAAAACACCTCTTTAGGGAGGAGTGCTAGTGGCGTGGAGAGACTTTTATCTCTAGCTTGCTGCTCGGCATCCAGTCCTGGTAAGCAGCGACCAAAAATGGTTTCTCGTTGATGGCTGTTCAGTGACCAGTGTGAAATGAATTGTTGATTTTAGGCCAGTTTCTAGTGGGCAGGTGACTGCATCAAACAACCCCCAGCACATGTGGCCTGCTTGTTGGCAGTCACAGTAGAGAGCCCAAGGACTGAATGGGCTATGGGGATTGAACAACTAGCTCACTCCTTGAAGGGGTCCCCCCAGGTGTGGTTTGGGCCCATTCATGGGGGACGCCCGAACTGCCATTGACCGTGCTGTTCCTGTTGTGGAGATGGAGTGACCTGAGCTGCCAATACATCATCTGTCAGCAGCATGAATGTATAGAAAGAAAAAAACCTCAAATAGGCAATTCTCAGGTCTCCCTTTGGCGCTGCCCGCTGGCTATTAACATTGCATTTGGATCCAGGGAGCGGGACATCCCTGGCACTCTCTCTGTTCTTCTGACAGCTGAGTTAAAGTCAGGCCTCGCCTGTGAGTTGAATAGAAAGGTTTCTTTTTGCTTTTTTAAAAAATGTTCTCCCTCCCTCCCCCCCGCAAGCTGTTCAGAGCAAGTTCATCCCAAGTCATGGCTTCTTCAACCACATACCCTGGAGGGGTCAGGAATATAATGACCCACCAGCTCCCAATGTTTCTTTATTCATTTTCTCTTGATTTCTGCTCCCTATTTTCTGGTCATGTGGGTGTTGTGGGGAGGCCACAGTGGCCCAGTTCTGACCCACAACTTTGTTTTCTCACACTTGACCCTCAGATTGCTCTCTTGATTCGCCTAATTTTGTAAAGGTCTCTGTAGAGCGGTTCATGTCGAGGGGATCAGCTGGCGGCCTGTTCCCCGCAGGGGACCTCACTTCTCGGGCCAGATTCTCAGTGGGTTTAAATCAGTGTAACTGTCGTGTGTATATCGCTTTATACCTAGTTATCCTTGGTTGTGTTGTATGTATATCAGGTGGTAGCTGACCACAGGATGAGCACGGTCAGTGCCCTTTCCTTTGGGCCCAATTCTGTGAGATTCTGAGCGTTGCCTGAGTGGTGTTGTGCCCCTCCTACTCTCACTGAGGCAAATGGAAATTGAGGGTGCTCAGCACTGAGCAGGGTTGGACCCTTTCTCATCACCCTCTACTTCCCTTCCCTCTTCTCATTCAGCTGCGATTCTAAGGCCACGTCACTTCTGGATCTTGGGATCATCTGGTCCAGAGCAATTAACAGACAGCAAGATTTTAACATACCCCCCTTCCAACCCTCCTCCTGGGTGTTTAAAAAACCATGTCGTTCAGAATTAGGCAAAAGGAAATTCGCAGAGTGTCTTTTTTTAAACCTACTTTGATTTCAGAACAGCAATAATACTTAATAATACCCTGCCCTGATACAGCACCTTTTGTCTTCAGTTCTCCTAGCTCTTTACAAACAGCTGTATTAAAAATTCCCACGTCTGTTTGAATTAATGATTTCATTTGTGAATTTCCAGCAGAAGGCTCTGCCATTTCCCCACTGACTTTTGATGCGAACGGTGTCATTCAAAACCCAACGACCTGTAGATGTGCAGCAAGAGCTTGGGGTTTTGAAGTTGAGCGGTGATCCTGTGACCTTGAAAAAAAAATCACAGCTGTCTATCATCTTTTCTCCTTATCGAGCTGATCTCTGAGGTGCTGAGTGCCTTCCACACTGACTGACATCAATAACAGTGGCAGGTGCTTGGGAGCTCACTGGATTTGGCACAATGTGTCTATTTAATCTGTCTACACACTGGCAAAGACTGCCTTCCTCTCTGAGGCTGAAGCGCTCAGCATTTACATTGAGCATACTGGGAGGAATTGGGGTGCTCAGGCACCTATGTGGTTCAGCACCATTCCCTTCCCCACTCTGCAGTTATCAAGGTCATTGGAAAGACGGAATGAGACTGATGACTCTCCAGGGGGCCAGTGTCAGTCACAATTAGCTTTGTTTTTGCTTAATTATTTTCAAGGGCTTTGGCACCAGCTATGGGCCCTCAGAGCCCTCACTCCAGCCTTGCCTTCAGCGGGACACTCTCTGACATGAGCCTGTTGCCACAGGAATGAACAGAAGGTCAAAGCAAACAAAAGTACCCCCTTGCTGTGGGTGAAAGGAAGGCTGTGCTTTCTGGAGTGACTGGAGACTGATTCTTGTTGGTAGGCTCTGCTGATGAGCTTAGATGCTGCCTGTGATCCAGCTGCATCTCTACAGTCATACCTGCTGCCTATCTAGCCAGAGTGACGGGCGATCCAGGGCATCCTGTGGTGTCCCCTGATGGGGAGTCACCATTTTCAGGGAACTCACTTCTAAGATGGAAGCTGTGATGGTACAGCATGGCTCTGCCAATGCCCCTCAATCCTGACCTGCCCCCTCCTGCCCTGCTGTTCCAGTCCTGGGCTCCCCCACACTGTCTGCTGCTGCTCCCCAGTCCTGACCTGCAGCACCCACTGCTATGCCAGTCCTTGGCTTCCCTTAAGCAGAGACTGGCAATAGACTCAATTGCTTGGAGGCTTTGTGGTGTGTCCAGGGAGTTAAACTGGAACCAGCCAAATCTTCTCGTGTTTCCTTGACCCGAGGCAGGGTTTGAACACCAGCCCTGGCTGTGGCACTACGTCTGCCACCCAGCCCCTCGGGATCATTCCTTCCTGTATCTTCCCTTTCTCTTTCCACAGAGCTCTCCAGCATCTCTCCACCCAGCCCCTGGTGCCAGAGGAACCCGCTCGGTACCCCGCCGGTGTCACAAGACATCGTCTTTAGAGGCGGGCTGCAG